GCGCGGTGGGTGCGGTTTTTACTTTAGGAATAGGGGCGCACCCACTAATCGCGCACTTGCGTCAGCATGTAGTCCCGCCCCAACCACCCCTACTACTCTCAATTAGGGTTTAGGGTTCACCCCCCAAACCCCCCTCAAGGGGGGCATTCTTGCTCTGCTCGGCCGGGGGCCTCGGTCGGAGCCTCGAGCGCCCATGCAAATGGTCAGCGGCGCTCTCGGCAGTTTAGGGTTTAGGGTGGGGGTTCCGGGTTGTGGTCATCATCACACCGCGTTCGTGTCCCACGAACGCAATGTATCGCAACATCACCTTTGGAAATGACCAACAAGCGTCAAAGGCTTGCGACACCTGCGCAGTCTTCCATTGAGAAAGTAGTTCCGGGGTTTAAATCCAAAATGACAAAAGATCTCTAAATTGTGAAAGCAGCGCACTGGGCACGTCATCGGCATGCCCTTCGGCTTTATGGGAGGCTCCTGCGCCGGAGCCGCCTGCTGTGAAGGCCATGATCACTTTTACCAGCTTGCTTTTTCCAGTGGATTCCTACTGTTATTGTGAAAATGATAGGTAGTTTGTACGCCCTAAACCCTAAACCCTAAACCCTAAACCCTAAACCCTAAACCCTAAACCCTAAACCCTACACCCCTGCACGAATAACCGACGCGTGACGGTGGCGAATGCAGGCACCCGAGCCCGAGCCGGAGGCAGCTAAGGAGGAGAAGGCCGATACTCAGCAAAGATGGGTTTAGGGTTTAGGGTTTAGGGTTTAGGGTTTAGGGGAGCAAGAGCATGGATTCTGCTTGTAAGCATGATAGAGGGAACAGTAGCAGCAAGAGCAACAGTACCGATGATAAGAGCATTTGTAGCACCCTATAACATCTACAGCATCAGGCACAACAACAACAGGCATGACAATAATGTGGATTTACCAAAATGTTATTAGCACCCAATGGTAGCAACACGGACATCAGGCCAAGGCAGATAACGATAGCAGTGCCAATAGCAACAGTTAGTGGTGATACCAGCAACATCGTCACAGCCACAAGCAGTAATTCTCATCATAGGTATGATGGCGTTTGATGATGATGACGACGATGCAGCGGCCGTTTGTGAATGTGAGCGGACCCTGCTGCTCCAGCGGAGTCTTCAATGTTTCGAGAGAGGTCAGAAGAAACGGTCCTTAACCCACTGCGCAAAGGCAGAGAGCCTCAATGCCCCCTAATTTAGAATGCTGAGCCGTCTCTTCCAGCAGCAGCAGTATTGTAGTAGTAGTAGTCGTCGTCGTCGTCGTAGTACTAGTACTTTCTGGGACCAGGCCCCTCCTCCAGAGCCGGTCGCCGAGGAGAAGGTAGCAGACTGCAATCTGTGGATTTGCAGGATTTTGTGGGGGTTTCAAACGATTCGGGGCTTACCATGTTTTGGGGTCTTTCTAACTGGCTGTTGCTTTCAAGCCACGATGTTCGCTTTTGTCATAATGTAAACCCAAATTGGCGAATGCAGGCACCCGAGCCCGAGCCGGAGGCAGCTAAGGAGGAGAAGGCCGATACCCAGCAAAGATGGTAAGAGCAAGAGCATGGATTATGCTTGTAAGCATGAGAAAGGAAACAGTAGCAACAAGAGCAACAGTACCGATGATAAGAGCATTTGTAGCACAGACCAACAGGCGTGATAGTAATGAGGATTTACCAAAATAGGTTGTTAGCAATGTGAACAAGACGGATATCAGGCCAAGGCAGATAACAATAACAGTACCAATAGTAACATTTAATTAGTGGTGATACCAGCAACATCGTCACAGCCACAAGCAGCAATGCTCATCATGGATATGATGATGGTGCTGATGATGGCGATGATGACGACGATGCAACAGCCATTTGTTAATGTGATCGGACCCTGCTGCTCCGGATAACCGACGCGTGACGGTGGCGAAT